ACCAGCAAAATCTGTGAGAGATACAGACTGCTTCATGAACCGTCGTAATAGAATGCAAGCGCTCGGACTCTCGGAAGAAAGTCGCCAAGAGCCAATGCTGACACAGTGCGGATACTCAGGCCATTCTCAATGTCGAGACACTGAATTCATGAAAGGACCGGACATTGTGCCGACGAAGATCGCGAGTTGATAAATAGCCGTAAAGTGGACGTCACTTCATGGTCCAAGAAGATGGAGGTTTTTAGCATTTGGGGTGCTTTACCAGGGATGTACTAATGTACCCGGCCCAGTACTGCGCATGTAATATGCGAAGCACTTGATGAAGTGCTGGCGGGCTTTGTCGGAGAAGACTTCTACAGTAAGTGATGTTCGCTTTTTAGCGAAGAAACGCACCCAAGTTCGCAGGTATGAGCGTTTACTGTTGTTAAAGCACTACGTCGGTATACCAACCTATGACCAATATCGCCCGCATTCTGTGCTTTCAGAGTGGACTGTGTAGCAAAACACGGCATCGATGCCGAGCAAGAACATGCAAGCTGGAAAAAAAAACAATGAGCCGTCTATAAATGATACGTTGAAGGGGGTTCCTCATCATTCTGCCTTGCGCTCGAGTACTTAACGTTGTTAAGCCACAACGATGTTGGCAAACTGATTTTGTCAAGGATAACACCATGCCACCAGCGCAACAAAGCGGAGTGTACGTCAAGGCTCTTGCATTTGCCAACTCTAAGTCCATGGTTAACGCAGGAAAAAGTTGATTTCATTGGAGGCAAGAAGTCGATGTGTTGCAAGCTACCATTCGCACTTGCCAACCGCGCCACGTCAGAGGGATCTGTTGATTCGCTAGCAACAACCAATGAGCGCAGGTCTAACTAAAAAATGCTGCTTGGATTGCTCGTTTGCGACACGGAGGACCGCAAATAGAAGTACCTTGCTTTCACTATGCTGAAAATGAGCAAGCAAAAAAAACTTGGCAAATGCCGGGCCATTCCACAGAATCCCGCGCCATGATTGGTCTAAACGGTAAAAACACGCAAATTTGCAACCCAAAGCGATCTTTATCCTTGTCAGTTTGCATTTTGCCTTCTTCCCCCAAGACAACAACGCGCTAAAAATGGCTGCCAAGTATCAAATCGTTCTCATCCGCCACGGCGAGAGTCAGTGGAATGTGGACAATCGCTTCACGGGCTGGCACGACGTGCAGCTGTCTGCCAAGGGCGAACAGGAGTCGCACGATGCCGGCAAAGTGCTGAAGGAGGCAGGATTTAAGTTCGATCTGGCCTACACGTCGGTGCTCAAGCGTGCCATTAAGACGCTGTGGAACATCCTGGAGGAGACGGACCTCATGTGGATCCCCGTTAACCGCTCGTGGCGCCTTAACGAGCGTCACTACGGTGCGCTCACGGGC